ACACCCATCATGGGGCTGGCAAGACTTGAATCCTGGGATCTTGGGCATAAGCCGCCAGGAAAGCCACTGGTCGAGAGGGCCCGAGGAGCGAAAAGGGGAGAAGGGGGAACCCCCTCTCCCAAAGCTAAGAAATCATGCTAAGAAAATGAAATAATGACACAATTAAAGCAGCAAGGTAGCAGACACTACAGAATTCTGTCTCGAGCCGCAGGCAGTTGAGAAGGAGCTGGAGGGCCACGGGACCACTTCTGCTAGACGCCCTCGTACCGGAGCACAAGAAGGCATACGGCATAGGCACAGACCCGCAGACACTGCTAACAAAAATACCTCCAGTCGAGTGCATCTGCACATCCTCAGGCAGAGAGGCTATAGGGACAAGAACTCCAAGAACAGAGGGAGCAGCCCTGGGCGGATGGAGGGCATGGCCTCCCTGCAGACGGGCCAGGAAGGGGAATGGGGATATGGCCCTTGCGGTAAAGGACTAGAGTAAGAGCCCCCAGCCTTTCCAGCATGGAAGGCTACAGGCACCCACCTACCTGCCGGGGAACGTAGGACCAACATTCAGAAACTGTCTCCCAAAGACAAGGCAAAGTGGCTTGTCCAAGAACTGTGGTGGAGCAGGAAACTGAACCCCGGGCTAGTGCCCAAACCGCTGGCCCATCCCTCCTGTCATGCATTATCTGCTACATATTAATCTATTCAGGGGAAGGAGGCGTCTAGGAGCAATGTGGCAATGATTTCTTAGACGTGAACAAGGCATGGGAGCAGAGCCACAGCTCAGCTGGGGAGTTCCCCTCTGACCTCCCAGATCTTAGCCTCAGACACAACTTGTAGCCTGTGCTTTGCAAAATGGGGCTTTGTATAGTTTTCCTGTAGAGCAGTGGATGTATTGGAGCCCCAGCTGCCCACTCTCCCTGGAGAACTCTTCAACATGCATTGGGCCTGCCGTGCGTAAGCTTTGGAGCTAACTGGTGCATTGGACAAATCCCCAAACCCCCTCTTTGCATGGCTGATAGAGAAGCGACATTCACTTTGTCACCTACCATGTGTTGCCATCCAGGTTAGTCAGAAAACATGGAGACAGAACAACACAGAAGAAGGACAACGAGAGCACAGAGAAGGAAGAGAAGGACATTATAGAGACAACCACCACACAGATAATCAACAACACCCAATGCGTGTGAGAAACAACAGACTCCACCCTCTTAAAGGCACACCGTACCCAGGCTGTGTGCGCCCACTGGAGTGGGCTCTACTTTCAAGCAGTGAATTTTGAAAGTTTTGTCGGCACCAACATTGATTTTGTACATACTCAGCCAATCTCTAAAAGGGGGGTGTCCATTCATGCACTTTGCCCTCGCTACATGTATCTGAAACAAGCCAATTTCACCTTTCCCTTTAATGGAAAAGTGCCCAGCAAAGCCACTGTAGTTGCTACCAGTCCAGTGTTTCTCTGGAAACCAAAAGCACAGGAAGGAGAGAGAGAGAGAGAGAGAACATGATTTTCCTTACGAAGAGAACAGCATAATACTCCGCTGTATAACCCGTGTCTTAAAGGGACAGAGATGGGTGGAGAAAGGAAACTGACATGAAAAGGACGAGAAAATGAAGCCACTGTGACATCCTGGCTAAGTGTGCATGATCGCCTCTCCCCTGGCTAACGGATACAAGCCCAGCTACTAGTGCTGTCCCTGCAGAGATTCTCCTTTAGCTCAGGTGGGCGAGGTCTGTCTTTTCAGAGCAGTTCGGCCTGCTTTCTGCGCCATGGAGCACGTAACAATAACGGGCAGCTGTTTATTCAGCTCTTTTGGAATCCCCATCCCAGCTGTGGGCATCCTGAGGAGCTGTGCTCTTGTTGAGATCAGGCCCATGCCAGTCATGGCCGCCGAGTGCATGGCAATAGCTCTTTCCCCTGTTCCTTTGTATATGCATCAGCCTGTCGCTGCCACTGCAAGCCCTGGGTTTGCACCAACCCTCAGTCTCTGCCTCATACCAAGCAGCCTCCCGCCTGGTGCTAGGACCGTCCCTCCAGGCACTGCACTTCCCTTTAGTGCTCTGGAGCTAGGCGGTGTCACTAAGGCACCGGCCTGCCGTGGGGCGATGGGAAGCCGCATCAGCCAAGAGGGAACTCCAGGAGAAACAATCCTTTCTGAGCTCTAAGCAGGCCCACTGCACTCACGCACCCCTTGGATGCATCGTGTTACCCTCAGCTCCCCTCCGCACCCTGAGGGGGCAGCACAGACTCCAAGGTGTACTAGCAGGTGATGCACAAGGGGCACAAATTGGCATGGTGAGGCAGGCTCCTTGCACCATTCCCTACTGCACACTTGCCAGGCTGGCCCTACAAGTGTCTTCCTAGATACATGGGGGTGGTGATCGCCTCCTAGGTTTCATCCTCTGCTTGTGTAAGTAGCAGGGACAGTGACGTGGGTTGGGGGATGCCACTAGTAACAGGGCAGGCTAAATGCACAGAGCTTGAAGAAGCAGTTCACTGAGGCATTCAGTCACCAATGATCAAGTCCTGATAAGACTCGCCATCCCCAGAGGAGTGAGCCCTGGACTTCACCTCACTAAAATGCCTCCTGCAAATGCAAAGATGCCAGCAGAATGGGCTATAAAATGTTCATGTCCCAGCCTGGCTGGAAGGGGGCTGGGGATTTGGAGCCTCTCCCCCGACCCAGGCTCCACATGGCTGACCTGCTGGATTGCTACAAGGATCTGCTGCCATGGTGGATTGATTAAAACAAAAACGAGGAGTCCGGTGGCTCCTTAAAGTCTAACAGATCTGTTAGTCTTTAAGGTGCCACCAGACGCCTCGTTGTTTTTGTGGCTACAGACTAACGTGGCTACCCCTCTGATACTTGGTGGATTGATTGCCAAGTCCAACGGCATAGCTCCAAGCAGCAGATGCCAGCTGAAAGGGGAATGACTGGTTGATTGGAAAGGTCTAGCCCAGGTCTGAGAGGCATGTGCTGCAAACCAGTCTGTATATGGAGATTTCCATAAAACAGGCCTTTGGGATCCCATCTGCCCTCCAGTATCTCTACAGCCTCCGACTTCCCATCTGAATAGGATCAGCCAGTCCTGTTGGGGCCTGATTCACACCAGCTGGCAGAACTCAGGCTATGGGCCCTGCTAATGGAAAGTCCATCCAGACAGGTCCCACTGCTGCGGGCAACTCCTGCTGTGCTGGGGCGTCGCTGCTGGCTGGCACTGCTGAGGAGGGTGCCGGGAGGAAGGCAAGGCCAGGGCATGCCAGTCTGGGACCATGGGGCACCCATGGAACTTGCCTCACCATTTCCCTAAGTGAAAAGAAAAAGGACACATGGGCAGAGGGGGGTGAGAGTCCACCCTGGAAGAAACTCATGGGTTCTCAGGAAAAGTCACTGGGCACTTTGTTTTCATGAGGGAAAGTACACAAAATTGGGGCAGGGGATGGGTTTTCAGCAGCTGTAGTCAGCAGATGATCCACCAGCACCTGTGGGCGTTGTTTATGAGGTGCCACAGATCAAGTGAGCATCTGGTGTTCCTCTTATTCTAGCCATAAATGTTCTCCAGGAAGGGCCGATGAAGCGGTTTGGAGACAAGTTAGGACCCTGTTCTTGAACTTTTGCCAGCTCCTAGGACCAAACCTGACCCTAATCTGTTGGAAGCCTGTATGTTTGGAGTCTATGTTCCCCCTGGAACTTTTCAGTCTCATGCACCTCACGCTGCTCTTCTGGTTAGCAGCTATGACCGTTATCTGAAGCACTAAAATGCCTCAAGAAATGCTGCTCTCCCTGGCTTTCCAGCCCAAATCTCATGAGACACCCTGTTTTTGTGATATTCCCAGTCCCGCTTTGTATACTTGAGTGGTTTGCAGTTTGATCACGTTGCTGGGTGATCACTGATCCTGAACTCTGACTCTTCAGGATGCTCCTCATTTCACTATCTCCCCTGAAGGGGCTGATCCTTAAAATGTGAGAATGACTAAAAGCAAAGAGGAAATGGGAAGAAACAGGGGGAAAGAAATACTTAAATGGCCTGAAATTTATGAATGGTGGTTCAGATAACACAATCTGCTGTTTTATACCAGTCAGACTCTCCGACGTCTTTAAGCTTTAGAAGCAGACAGCGATCCTGTGGGGAACGTGAGATAGTTGTTGTGTCAAATGATAAAGAACAGCAGACGCATTTTCATTCCTTGACAACAGAGAAGCAAACTCTGCTGATCAAGAGCAAAGAGCCCTGTGTAACTTCCTGATTCCCTTGGCTATCTCCTATGTGTCCTCTAGGTTTGGGGGAAACAGTGCTATTAACTGGTGGGTCTAAATTAAAACTTGTGTTACAAGACATCTCTATAAAAAAGTCTGCACAAATGTATAATGGTAGGTAATGTAAAGCATGCCACCTGCTGGCATGTTTCATGGCTGGCTTTGTTCACAAGTTTGTAGGTTCAATAAAGTTGTTGTTTTGCGGCACATGACTCCCTCTGTCTGAAACCCTGTGTGTATGTGGAAGGTCAAAAAAACCTGGATCCAAATTCCGCATCTGAGGCCCATTTCTAGTTAGGAAAGCAACCCCCACATCCGTACTGCAGAGGGGAAAACCCTATGACTCCTTAGCAAAATAGCTATTTCCCACCCAGTGTCTACAACTAACGCCTCACGCTGATTAAACCCTTCCCAAGTGCCTTATGGGAAAGTAACCCACCCTAGGACAGCTGGGGAGCATTGTCTCCCTCTGGTGGTACTAATCTGCTACTGCATCAGTTTGATGCCATTACTGCTTTAGCTCTAGCTCATGCTCCTAGCAGTAGAGGTCCCTGGGGTTCAAATCCTGCTCTCGGCGAAAGCTGAGCTGGTTACCTTCACTCCCTGTATCTGAGGAACTGCACACTTCTGCTGCTGCTTTAGGAATAAAGGACTGTTTGTTTTTTCCCTCGGTCAAAATTACAAGCAGGCGCTTTCTAACATACCTCTCAAGGGACCCGGCTGAGCCTTTACCAAGGGGCTTTTTACCTGGTTTCCCGATTTCATGTCTTTCATGTTCATGGCGTTCTTCATCCCTTTGCCCTTCTCCTTCTTGTTCTTCTTCTTCTTGCAGCAGCATTTTTTGCAGATGCAGAAGCAGCAGGTGAGGAGGAGCAGGCCGCCTACCACAGCAATGGCAATCAGGGCCCAGGGAGGCACTGTCACAAAACAATGCCAGCCACATGATTCGTCTTGTGCCACAGCCACACCCCCAGCAGCCAGCACCCCCCTGGTGCAAGGCCTCAGAAATGCCCCTGGGTTATACAGGGCGTTTGTCATTGCAGGGCCTGCGTGTGGCTCATTGCCAGGGTCACACGCATCTACTGTGCTTTGCAGGGCACAGGCAAGTTGGGAAAAAATGGTTACCTACCTTTCATAACTGTTGTTCTTCGAGATGTGTTGTTCACGTCCATTCCACATTAGGTGTGCGTGCGCCGTGTGCACGGACGTTGGAAACTTTTCCCCTTAGCAGCTCCTGTTGGGTCAGCAGGGGAGCCCCGCCAGAGTGGCGCCTCCACACTGGTGCATATATACCCCTGCCGACCCGACCCCACTTCAGTTCCTTCTTGCCGGAGACTCCGACAGGGGAAGGAGGGTGGGAAGTGTAATGGACGTGAACAACACATCTCGAAGAACAACAGTTACGAAAGGTAGGTAACTGTTTTTTCTTCTTCGAGTGCTCGTTCACGTCCATTCCACGTTAGGTGACTCACAAGCTTACCATAGGAGGAGGGTAGGAGTCATGGAGCAATTGATTGAAGAACAGCCCTGCCAACCGCTGCGTCATCTCTGGCCTGCTGATTGACTGCGTAGTGGGCTGTGAATGTGTGCACCAATGACCAGGTGGCTGCTTTACAGATCTCCTGGATCGGGACGTGCACCAGGAAAGCTCTTGAGGACGCTTGTGCCCTCGTCGAGTGAGCCGTGATCGCCGGGGCTGGAATCTTGGCGAGCTCATAGCATGCGCGGATGCAGTCCGCAATCCACGATGATATACATTGCGTCGAGACCGGAAGCCCTTTCATTCTATCGGCGATGGCGACAAACAACTGCACTGACTTGCGGAAAGGTTTAGTTCGCTCCAAATAGAACGCCAGGGCCCTTCAGACATCCAGAGTGTGCAGGCTACGGTGACTCGGGTCCGTGTGTGGTTTAGGAAAGAGTACTGGCAAACAAATATCCTGTCCCATATGTAATTGTGAGACTATCTTAGGGAGGAATTTAGAGTGTGGCCTGAGTTGCACTTTGTCCTTATAAAGTATAAGGAGGCTCCGAGGTTAGGGCCCTCAACTTGGACACCCTCCTCGCCGATGTAATGACCACCAGGAACGCCACCTTCCAGGAGAGGTGAAGGAGGGAGCAAGAGGCCAGGGGGGGCTCGAACGGGGGCCCCATAAGCTTGGAAAGGACCAGATTAAGGCTCCAGAGAGGGACCGGCGGGCGTGAGTAGGGGAACACTCTCTCCAGTCCCTTGAGGAACCGCACCACCATGGGGTTAGAAAACACAGAGCATCCAGATTCCCCCGGGTGGAACGCTGAAATGGCAGCTAGATGCACTCTGATTGAGGAAGGAGCGAGTCCCTGATGCTTGAGGTGCAGGAGGTATTCTAGGACTACTGGAATAGTGGCCTGGAGTGGCTGTATCTGTTTAGGCTCACACCAGCAGGAGAATCTTTTCCACTTAGCTAGTGGAAGGTTTCCTACTGCCAAGGAGAATCTGCCGTACCAGAAGAGAGCACTGGCTCTCCGTAGCGTTTAGCCAGAGAGCTTCCTCGCCATGAGATGCAGAGACTGCAGATCCGGGTGGAGCAGGCGCCTGCGGTCCTGTGTGATGAGATCCTGGTGCAGGGGCAGGGCAATCAGGACGGCCACTGACAGCTCTAGCAGGGTTGTAAACCAGCGCTGACAAGGCCAAGCTGAGGCAATCAAAATGATCATTGCCTTGTCCCTGCAAACTTTGAGGAGGACCCTGTGGATGAGTGGGAGCGGAGGAAAGGCATACTTCAGACTCCCACTCCAAGGGATCGCGAATGCGTCTGCGACCGAGCCCGGACTGTGGTTCTGGAACGAGCAAAACTGTGGACATTGGCTGTTGTCCTTGGTGGCAAAGAGGTCCATTTGGGAAAACCCCCACTTCTGGAAGACTGATTGCAAGACGTCCGATCTCATCGACCACTTGTGCATGCGGTATGACCTGCTGGGGCTGTCCGCTAGCTGGTTTCGCTCTCCCGGGAGGTATGACGCTACGAGATGGATGGAGCGGGCTATACAAAAGTCCCACAGGAGAAGGGCCTCTCGGCAGAGGGGAGAGGAGCGGGCTCCGCCCTGCTTGTTTATATAAAACATGGCGGTGGTGTTGTCTATCAGAACTGTCACGCTGTGACCTTCCAGAGTAGCGTGAAAGGTTTGGCAGGCTAGACGAACCGCCCTGAGCTCCTTTACATTGATGTGGAGTGACACTTCGGCCTTGGAACACAAGCCCTGTGTCCTTAGGTCCCCTAAGTGAGCTCCCCAGCCGAGGTCTGACGCGTCTGTCACCAGCGTCAGAGCAGGCTGCGGTGCGGCAAAGGGGATACCCTCGCATACTACCGGCCAATTGAGCCACCAGCGCAGGGAGTCCAACACCTGGGCCAGAACTGCCACGACAAGGTCTAGGGGTCTCTGCCTGGGCAATACGAGCGGGCAAGCCATGCTTGTAAAGTCCTGATCCGTAGTGGAGCTACGTGAGTGCACGCCGCCATGTACCCTAGGAGCTGCAGGCAGCATCTGGCCGTGGTAGTGGGGAACCTTAGTATCGAGTCTACCACACACTGGATGGCCAGGAATCTGGATTCCGGGAGGCTCGCTCGCACCTGCACCGAGTCCAGCACTGCCCCGATGACCTCCAGCCTTTGCGTTGGTATCAGGGAAGACTTGGGCACGTTGACGAGAAGACCCGACCTGCGGAATGCATCCAGGGCCACCGTCACATGGGAGCAGACCTCCTCTTCAGACCGACCCGTGAGGAGCCAATCGTTGAGGTATAGGTATGCCTGTATTCTCCTCTTTCGCAGAAAGGCTGCCACTGCTGACATGCATTTCGTGAACACACGGGGGGTTGCCGCCAGGCTGAACAGGAGGACCATAAACTGATAATGGTGCTGGTTTATGGCGAACCACAGGAACCGCCGGTGAGCGGGGTGAACAGCGATGTGAAAGTATGCATATTTCATATCGAGGGCAACGTACCAATCCCCCGGATCCAGGGACGGGATAATAGTGCCTAGGGAGACCATGCGGAAGCGGACCTTGACTAAGAACTTGTTGAGCCCGCGAAGGTCTAAAATGGGCCGAAGGCTCCCCTTTGCCTTTGGGATGAGAAAATAGCGGGAGTAAAACCCCTTCCCCCTTAGTTCCCGAGGGACTTCCTCCACCGCCCCTGCCTCTAGGAGTGACTGTACCTCCTGCATAAGGAGTTGCTCGTGAGAAGGGTACCTGAAGAGGGACGGGGAAGGGGGGTGGGTAGGAGGGAAGGAGGAGAACAGCAGCGTGTAACCCACTTGTACCGTGCGTAAGATCCAACGGTCCGATGTTATATGAGATCACGCCTGGTAGAAGTGGGACCAGTGGTCCAAGAAACATACGGAAGGATCCGGGAGCTGGGTTGGTACGCTGTCCTCAAGTGCACCTTCAAAACCCCTGCTTGTTGCCAGGCTGGGGCTTGCCCTGGCCCTGGCTTTGATTAGGTGTGTTGTTCCGCCTGCGTCTGTTGTCTCTGCCCCTCCTGCGATAAGGCTCCTGCCTAGGGCGAGGCTGGTACTGCCGTTGCTGCGACGGTTGGGGCTTGAATGGCTGAGTCGCCGGGGTGTGCATTCCTAATGACTTGAGGGTTGCCCGGGAGTCTTTAAGGCTATGCAGCCTGGCATCCGTCTGGTCGGGAAAAAAGGCCAAACCCTTCGAAGGGGAGGTCCTGGATGGTATTCTGGACCTCTGGCGGAAGGCCTGAAGCCATGCCGAGCGCCTCATCACCACACCTGAGGCAACTGTTCTGGCTGCTGCGTCTGCCGAGTCCAGAGAGGCCTATAAAGAGATCTTGGCAACTGCCTTTCCCTCTTCCACGAGGGCCGTGAACTCAGGTTGAGAGCCCTGGGGCAAGGAGTCTTTACATTTGGAAACTGCTGCCCAGGAATTGAAATTGTGCCTGTTTAGGATCGCCTGCTGGTTCGCAATCCTTAATTGGAGGCCCCCAGAGGAGCAGACCTTCCTTCCAAAGAGGTCCAGATGTTATCCTCCTTGGCCTTGGGGGCCGGGGCTTGCTGGCTATGACGCTCCCGTTCATTCACGGCTGAGATGACCAGCGAACAGGGGGCCGGGTGACAAAATAGGAAGTCGTATCCCTTGGAAGGGGCGAAGTACTTCCTCTCCACCCCCCCTTGCTGTCGGTGCGCTGGAGGCTGGGGTTTGCCAGACCGTCTTGTAGTTACACTGAATTGTCTTTATGAGCGGGAGCGCAATTCTGGAAGGGCCTTCAGGGCTTAGGATGTCCACCATAGGATCCTTCTGCTCCACCGCTTCCTCCGCCTGTAGGCCCAAGTTCTGGGCGACCCTGCGGAGCAGCTCCTGATGTGCCCTGTGGTCAATTGGAGGAGGGTCCGACACTGCCGTGCCCGCCACAGCTTCATCTGGGAAGGATGAGGAGGTGAGGGCCTGCTGTGCCTCCTCCACCAGCTCTTCTTGCCCCTCATCATAGGCAGGGGGGCACGGCTGAGCCCTGCCTGGTTCATTGTCCCCGGGACGGCCCCGGGCTCGGTGCCGCTTCCGTTTGCCGGTGTTCCGGCGAAGTGTCTGGCGGCCTGGATACCATAGCCTCTTTGGGTGTGGAGGGGTGCCTGCGTGGGGACCGGGACCGGTGCACCGAATAGCCGGATCTTGAAGCTCTGGAGGAGATCCCTTGCTGCTGCTGAAAGGCCCACGGTGTCCAAAAGGGCCATTGTCCTGGCGGGCCCCGCCCCATTGGGGATGCCACGCGGTTTGGGGCTCCCTGCTAGCCAGTGCCCTGCGGGCATAGCTGGAGCAGCCCGAGCCGACCTCGGATTCCGAGGACGCTGACCTCGAAGGCCAAGATGGTGCCGTGGCACGATGCCGTCGGGAGGCTGGAGAGCGGCTCCTCGCTGACCGGGACTGGATCGGTACCGATGCCCTCTGGATCGGTACCGATGCCCTCAGGACCGGGATCGCTGCCTTCTGCCTGGGATCGGGGACTGCAGCCTTATGTCCCCTCGGTACTGGCTTAGTGATGGTGCTGGGGAGCATTGCGCCGGCAGAGCCAGTGCCGTATGCTGGCTCGTTTCCGGTGCCATCGAGTCCCACTGAGTCAAAGGTAATTGGGAGTCCACGGAGGCTGAGCTCGACCGGGACCGGCGCCAGGAGCGGTGCTGGGACAGTGACCTCGAGCGGCGCACCATTGCTGGCTTGCCTCTGGACGGCATCCTTGTTGATGGTGCCGGAAGGCTTCTCCTTGCCAGGGAGGGGGCTTGCTGCCGACAGCTCGATGAGATATTTTGCTGCCTCAAAGGTGTCTGGCATGGAGGGCTGTTCTAGAATGTCCTCCAGCCCTTCTTCTGCACTCAACCCACTTAGCCTGGGGCTCGACGGGCCCTGCGACGCCAGAGCCACCAGTGCCGGTGTATGTCCTTGGGCCGTACTGCCCCTTTGAGTACTCGGTCCCTTGGAAGGCGCCGCTTTCTTATGTGGGGAGCGCCCTCTATCGCTTTTCAGCTGTCCCTTCGACCGTACTGGAGAGGTCGAGTGGTGCCGGGGCTTGTCCTGTTGTTTCGGTGCTGCATGCTTGCAGTGCCCCACCGGCGCCGGATCACGGACTGATGCTGGGGCACTCCGCACCGAGGATGCCGGCACCGAAGCCGGATGGTCTGAGGCCGCAGGTTGCAGCACAGCCTCCATGAGTAACTGCTTGAGGCGAAAATCTTTCTTTCTTGGTTCTTGGCTTAAAAGCCTTACAGATCTTGCAGTGCTCAGTCTGGTACGATTCCCCCAAACACCAGAGACACGAGTCGTGGGGATCATTGATCAGCATAGGCTTGCGGCACGTGGCACAAGCCTTAAACCCTTGGGCCTGCGGCATGCCCCGCAGCCCAGGGCTGGTGCTGGAAACGACTTCCAGACACCTAAAACAAAGGAAGCTTAACTATGTACTATAAAGAAATGCTAACTACTGATAACTATTAACTACAGATAACTGCTAACTACTGATAACTGCTACAACTGTGCTAAGGGATCACTCGTAAGTGAGAGAAGAGTTGTTCCAACCCCCCCACGGACGGCAAGAAGGAACTGAAGGGGGGTCGGTTCGGCAGGGGTATATATGCACCAGCATAGAGGCACCACTCTAGGGGGCTCCCCTGCCGACCCGACGGCAGCCGCTAAGGGGAAAAGTATCTGACGTCCGTGCATGCGGCGCGCGCACACCTAATGTGGAATGGACGTGAACAACACCTCTCGAAGAAGAACTCTGCCATTCGCCCGGTGATAACACGGTGTGTGATGTGAAATTACCCTGCAACAGCCCCTCCCCTGGCCGTTAAATGGCATTTACCCTGGAACTGAGCATTCTGACTCCCCACTACCCCAGTCCCTCCAGGGTAACTCCCCTTCCTCCCACCTGCCCCCCAGGGTTACCACCTTTGAAATGCCCCCCCCTCACAAGGCAAGCCTGCTGCAACCCCAACTCCCAGCCACAAGGCAGCTCTGCAGCCCTCCCCCATTTCAATAGCCCCTTCTAGTATCTAGAGAGAGAACACACACAGACAAGACTGATAACATCACTTTCTTATTTACACTGGGGGAGGGAGGACACCGAAACATCTTTAGCAGGACATAGAAACTTTTAACATTAGATATCCCAGTGCATTGTGATAATCATGCAAACCTTTAGACCCACGTAAAAAAACATGGCAGATTAAATTATTTTTCTGGCAACTAGCAAATCCACAAAAAAAACGGCCAGGCTGGTCAACTACCAGCCACGTTGTAACCCTCCCGCCCTCCCCACCCAGATACCACATGTTAACACCCCCCCACCATCAGTCACTCCATGAGAACTCCCCACTTCACTCCCACCTCCCCCAGATCACTCCATGGTAACTCCCCACTGACCCGCCCCCAGTCACTCCATGGTAACTCCCCACTGACTCTCCCCCCTCCCCAGTCACTCCATGGTAACTCCCCCTTCCTCCCCCATAGGGTTTCAGTGACCAGGAATTGATGCCTAGATCTCGTCCATCTCGCCCCAGTGTCTGTAAGGGCTGCCCAGCCGTGCTCTAGCTGCACTGGGCTGAGCAGATGCCGGGGCCCATCCCTAGCAAGCTCTGCCTGGGTTGCTTTCAGAAAGGGATGCTGGAGGAGGGGCTGGTCGCCAGCTACTCACAGGGAATCTTGTTCAGCTCATTCATGAACTTGGCCTTCAGCTTGGCAAATATGTCCTCCTTGCTGTCACTCAGGCTCGTGGTGTTGGTCACGTTCTCCATGGAGCCCACAGGCATCGCGGTGCTGACAGGCTCCGGAGCCACCACGGGCTCTGGGTTTTTCTTGGAGCCAGTCCCCATCATGGTTAGTTAGGGGCTTCCTGAAAGACACAGGAATGTTGCCAGTTACATGCTAGGCCCAGCCTGTCTTCCGCTCTCGGAGTCACCTGGGCAGTGTTTCCAGATGTGATGCCTGTACCCAGTTCTTCATAAGCCTGAAATCTCTGTGTCACAGGCCATCTTTGGAATGCTTCAATAAAGGCCAGTTTGTTTCTCCCCTACTGGAGGGACACAGAGTCTAACAGAGCGAGGGGTAGCATGGGAGTTAGGACTCCTGGGTTCTCTTCTCCCTTCCTGTGAACGCTCCAAACAGCCAGTGGGGGATGGCTGCTGTGACTCTACAGGGACATGGGACCAGGTCATCTGGTGCTGGACTCCATCTTGGGATGTCAGTATTTTTCCACTGGCATGGGAACCAAGCTTTGAAACAAAGGGTTCCCGCTATATGCAAAAGCTATATAAGGCAGGGGAGTGACATCCTCTTGGTCCTTCACTGACTCCCCACCCAAGAAGACTCTTGCAAACACCTGAAGAACAAAGACTGAACTGGGGGAAGTGCTGGACCCAGGCAGAAGGGATTTTTAGCCTGTGAATGGAACACCTGGGGATTCCAAGCTGTAAGCCTGTGCAGCTTGCCCCTTAAGAATCTGCAGCCTGCTTGTATCATCACTTAGGGTGAGAATCTACTATTCATATCCAATCTCTTTAGTATATTAAGCTTAGTTTGAGTGTTTTGTTTATTTGCTAGGTAAGCTGCTTTGATCTGTTTGCTATGCCTTATAATCACTTAAAATCTATCTTTTGTAGTTAATAAACTTGTTTTTGCTTTATCTAAAACCAGTGTGTGGGAATCATAACTCAGGGGCAGAAGGCTGTCACATATTCGTCTCCACATTGAGGGAGGGGGGCAAATGTTATGAGCTTACGCTGTACAGTTCCCTGTGCAGCACAAGATGGTATAATTTGGGGTTTATACTCCAGAGGGGATGTGTGTCTTAGGAACTGGGAGGTGCCCTAGCTGAAGCCTTACCATGCAGGGGCTGGTTAAAGAGCCTGTCTGCATATAACTGCAGCAGGGTGTGTCCCTACCTGTATGAATGCTGATGAAAATGCAGGCTAGAGAGGGCTTTGCAGCTTGTTACAGCAGTACAGTGTAAAAGGGAGCCCAGGCTGGTGGGTCAGGGGTCTCAGTGGTACCCCAGTTCCAGGTGGCACCCCAGGGGGAACCCATCACACCCATATCCCAGTTCCCTGCTCTAACCACTCCCTTAAGTAGACAGAAGCCTCAGGAGAGGTGCCATTAAGCTGCTGGACTGTACATGACAGGGCACTCTCCTGCTTTTCATCAACCCACGTAGGAGCCAGTTGTCAGTGCGGGGGTGGCACTGTACGGAAGGACTCAATAAACCGCCACGGGGCTGTCACTGCTAATGGATGAGAGGTGGCCCTGATGACCCTGGGAAAAGGATAGGATTGTTCTCAGAGGCAGTTCAGCCGAGGAAGACCCAGGGACCACGGCATCACCTCTGGCTGTCAGGGCACTGACAGCTGCCAATCAGTGTGATAAGTAAAGCAGAAGAGAGAGGCCCCAGAGGGTCAGCAGAGATACAAACCCTACGGAGAATGGAAACCACCGGCCTCAGCAAACCCTTCCTGAGCAGGGTCAGCAGGAGCCTCTGCACAGATCCAGCCTCCAAACTGCTCAGTCTCCCAGGGCTCCTTTGCAAACAGCCTCCTGAGCTCTGCTATGCTCCTGGATCTCTGGCCATCACATCATGGATTCCTCCAGCCCCTGCCCATGAGCCTCCCATGTGTCAGGTCCTCACCCTTGCAGCAGCCTCGAGGAGGCAGCAAGGGCCAGTGGTTTAAACAGGGCACCGTGAGTCTGGGTTCACATACCCAGCTTGCTACAGACTCCCCACGTCATCTCGGGTAAGTCACTTAACCTATCAGTGCCTCAGTTTCCCCATCTGTACAATGGGAGCAATAATTCAAAGTGCGGAGAGATCTGTGGAGTAAGCAGGTTATGGTGTGTTATTGCATCTGATTGTTAAATATATATGAAACTAACAAATCTGCACTGAAAGCCGAGACTGGAATTGATTGCTGGGTGTTTGTATGTTACAGAGGGTAAACTCCCTGGGCCAGCACAGGTGAGAGCGCTTTGAAGGAACTGTGCTCAGAGGAGGGAATCTTTCTTAATGGAGATGAGACCTGAGGGAGAAGGAACCCAGCTTGACTCTCAGATCCCAGGCTGAGTGTGCAGGGCTGACAGCCAGAGAAACCCTTTTATGTGAGCGTCCTTGATCTTGATGCACTAAACGAGGAGCCCCAAGATGCCAATTCTGCATTAATATTATCATTAATTATCAGTAGGGCCCTACCAAATTCACACCCTTGAAAAACATGTCCAGGACTGTGATATCTGTGCTTTTACCCTGTACGATAGAGATTTCACGGGGGAGACCAGCATTTCTCAAATTGGGGGTCCTGACCCAAAAGGGAATTGCGGGGGGTGTCACAAGGTTATGTTATGGGGGGTTACGGCATTGCCACCTTTACTTCTGTGCTGCCTTCAGAGCTGGGCGGCTGGAGAGCAGCGGCTGTTGGCCGAGCACCCAGCTTTGAAGGCAGCGCCTCGCCAGCAGCAGTGCAGAAGTAAGGGTGGCAATACCATGCCATGCCATGCTATCCTTACATCTGTGTTGCTGCTAGCGGCGGCTCTGCCTTCAAAGATGGGATCTCATCCAGCAGACACCACTCTCCAGCTCTGAAGGCAGCACCACCGCAGCTAGCAGCAGCAGCACAGAAGTAAGGGTAGCAGTCCCATAACTCCCCCTACAATAATCCTGCAACACCCCCCCCCCCACACACACACAAACAACTCCTTTTTGGACTCCTACAATTACAACTGTGAAATTTCAGGTTTAAATAGCTGAAATCATGAAAATTTATGATTTTTTAAATCCTATGACCGTGAAATTGACCAAAATGTACCATGAATTTGGTAGGGCCCTAATTATCAGTATTACTGTAGCATCTACGGCCCAAGTCATGGGCATACTGTATAAACACAGAACAAAAAGACAAATTATAAGATTTTTGGGGCAGGGGCTGACAGCCACTTTTCAGACTAGAGCCACATCTCCGGGCACCTTGGGGAGACAACAAATACTTGATGGTAGAGGCCCGATAGTCAGAATCGGCACCAGAAGAGCTTGGCATGTTGGGTGCTGAGCTCTTGTGAAAATCCAGCCCCAACTGTGGGTATTGGGTGCTTACCAGTCTGGCCTTGAACTCTCCTGGGTTTGCAATGAGAGCTGGTGCCCAGCTGCCCTTCGAGTTTGTAGCTTTTTTTTCCGCTGCTCTTCTTTAAAAGACACACCCACCGGGCCCAGCCAAGGGTTACACCACTAGGGTTATGTCTGATCTGTATCTGATTATTCTGGCCTGGGGAAAGTACCAGCTAGTTCTTCCAAAGGAGGAGGACCTTGTCTCACTCCCCTTACGAAGAGGCAGAGAACACGCAGGAGGTAGGAGCACCCATGGACTCAGAGGGGCTGAAGCCAGAAACCAGGCCAAAGAAGACCCAGTAGCTGCTGCTGGGGACACGGAAGGTGAACGATCTAAAAGTACAAGGCACCATCACAGGGTCAGAGCTCACATGCTGGCCTCCTCAGCAACAAGCCAATCATCCCATCTGGTACCAATGTCAGAGTAGAGGACAGGTGGGGTCTGCAAAGCTAAATGCTGGCCCCGGCCTGATTCCCGGACACGGCTCTTTCAGCATGGCATATGCTGCCATAAGAGAGTCTAGACCCTCAGGCTATATCTACACTGCATTGTAAGCTTGGATCTGTGGGACTCGGGCTTGTGGACTCAGAGTTTCCAAACCCACACTTAAGCGTCCACACTGCATTGTAAACTTGGGCTTACAATTGCTGGAGCCAGGGTCTCCCAAGCATGCTAACACGTCCATACTGCACTGTGTAGTCATTCTGAGTCAGGTCTTTGGCTTGAGCTGCGTCCTCACTGCAAAATGCCAGGGCTTGGACCCGAGTCACAATGAGACTTGGGCTGACCCGCCCCCCTGGCAGGGTCCAAAGCCCAGGTCTTGAATGCTGGCTGACCCGAATCAGACTGATTTGCGTGTGGACAGAAAAGGGCAATGGGCTCAAACCTGAGTCACACCCTGGGTTTACTGCATAGCGCCGACATACCCCCAATGAAATGAGCGCTCCCGCTGCTGTGTGTCAAGCCCCAGCACATGTACCACCTGGGACTATGCCCCGGGAGGCACTGAAGCGCTGGCCTGGCAGCACGGTGACAGATAGGTCAGCACATGATGGCAGGGGAGCTGAGTCTGACCACGGAGCTGGCATTCACAGGAGAGGGATTTCTGCCATGGTCACAGAGGGAGCTCAGTGCAGGGCTGTGAGACCAAAGGTGGGAGGCTCACAGTTTGATAGGAGGGGAGGTGGAATGGTGTATGTGTGCACCTTGGGTGGGGCCCTGGGTGCTACCTACTTATACATAATAATAGTGAGGTGCCCCATCAGAGCACAAGCTGCTCTCCGCGGGGCGAGCCAGGAGAGAAGGGCATGACGCTCCAATCCAGATTTGAACTCCCCCGTACACTGTTCTGCGCTGGGGGGTCGCGCCAGGCTCCTCGAAGCTCCAGAGAGGGAGCTGTGGATTTTCTCCCAGTCCCTCCCCACTATCTAGGTGCTGGATCTAATTCTTTAACTGGGTCCAGCCAGCCACAAAAGGCCCTGCTTGTGGGAGGTCATGAAGAGAGGAAGCAGAAGAGAACACTGCTAATAACCACGCGCAGCTGCAACGAGGCCAAGAGCACAGCGGGGTGGCGCTGGGCCTGGAACCCACCCGGCGATTCCCAGCCAGCTGAGAACCGAGCTCGGCGCACGGACCAGGCGAGCTGCGCTGCCGGCTCCCAGCTGGAGCTCAAGGCCGAGAGCTCAGCGCAAGCAGCCGAGCAAATCCAGTGGGAGTCAGGAAGTGAGATTCGATGGAAGTTCTGCTT